GAATCATAGAACTGTTTGAGTTGAAAGGGACCCTTAGAGGCCATCTAGCCCAACTCCCCTGCAATGACCAGAGACATATACAACACAATCAGGCGCTCAGAGTCCCATCCAGCCTGACCTTGAATGTCTCCAGAGATGAGGATTCCACCACTTCTCTGAGCAATCTGTTCCAGTGCTTCACTACCCTTATCATAAAAAATAATAAATTCTTGCATGCAATCTAAACCTCCCCTCTTTCAGTTTGAAACCATTTCCCCTCATCCTATCACAGCAGATCCTACTACACAGTCTGTCCCCTTCTTTTTTATAAGCCCCCTTCAGATACTGAAAGGTGACCATCAGGTCTCCCCAGAACCCAGCTCTCCCAGGGAAACTGTACCATCCCTTGCATTATTTTTGTGGTCCTCTTCCAACAGGTCTCTGTCTCTCCTGCACTGAGGAAAACTGGACACAATACTCCAGGTGAGATCTCACCAGCACAGAGTAGAGGAGCAGGATCACCTCCCTCACCCTGCTCACCATGCTTCTTTTGTTGTAGTCCAGATACAGTTGACTTTCTGGGATGCAAGAGAACATTGCTGTCTCATGTCCAGCTTGCCATCCACAGAATGAAACTGCTTAATGTCTCTGAAGACTATTTAAATAGGTACAAGTGGCAGTCTTCTGTTCTGGACTTGTGAATGAACGTTAGCTCAGAGACATCAAGTAAACCACAGGTAACCTTCACTGACAAATTGAGGACTTCCTGGCAGCTACTGTTGTCTATTGGTCAGGGGAGCACAACAGCCAAAACACCAATATGATCTCAGACACTTAAGAAAGCCACCAAATTCGTAGGACAAAAACAGACATTCCTCTCTATTGAATTGCCCTTTTTAAGTTCTCCAGCATCTGAGACAGAGCACCAGTTCCACACAGAGCAACTTAGTATGAACAAAAGCATGCTCTGTGCGTCAAGCTAGATACCATGTGTTAATTGCAACTTGGAAGTCAGTAACTCTAGAAAACAACTTGCTTTCAAATCATTTCAGGAAGGAAAAGTTGCAGCACCTGTAGCCAAAAACAGGCCAGGGTGGAAGCAGAAACAGAGCTGCAGCCCTGGGGGCTCTGCTGTCCCCGGTCTGCAGTTTGGGGTAGGGAACAAAAGATGGCTTTGAACTGGAGGCAGCAGTCCTTGAGAAGGCTTTAAGGAGGGAGGATAGGCAAAAAGGGACTCCTCTATCCCCACAGTTCTCCAAGGTGCCCCACAATGCTCTTGATCCATCCTAGACCATGAGGAACCCTTCAACCTGACATCACCCACCATGAAACTCACTGGGGTTTCCTCTGCTGCCCCTCATCATCTCAAATAATGGAGATGCCCACCAGGCCCTGTCCCTGGAGGTGTACAAGGCCGGGTTGGACGGGGCCCTGAGCAGCCCAGTGGTGGGAGGGGGGGTGTTGGAGATTAACGATCCTTGAAGTTCCTTTCAACCTGAGTCATTCCAATTCTGTGACCCTACATGGACGCAGTGCCACATCTCCTGCACCCCGTTCTTACCCCGGTTCAGCCCCACAAAACCCTCATACTGAGGCAACCCTCCCGAGCCCGACACTGCCCTCAAAACACGGAGACGTCCCTAGGGCTCTCCTGAGCCCCACATCACCCCTCCAGCTTTGTCCTGTAGCCCGAAGCCCCAAGCAGGCTCACAATGCCCTTCAGCATGAACACCCCCCAGCTCCAAGCCCACAGCGCTCCCCGAGCACCCACCTCAACCTACCCTTCTCCCAGACCACGAAACCCCTCCCCAACAACTCTCCGTACACCCAAATCAAGCAGGATGATCACTAGAGCGGCTCCCTTCCTACCTGCCGGCAAGCAGCAAGCCCGCAGAGCAACGCTCTCCGCGACAACCGCCTCAGGATTTCAAACTTCAACGGCACCTTCAGCCGACCAATGAGAAAGCGGCATTCGGAAGGCGGTCTCCAATCCGGAAAGCGTCCTGCGGAAGGGCGGGGATTTTCGAGGCCTTCCGCCAATAGGATCTCACGGAGTGGAGCTGCCTCGGGGGAGGCGCGCTGGGAAGCGCTGGCTGCGGAGCTGTGCAGTGGCGGCGGGCTGAGGGGGAGGGGGGGAGCGGGTTGGCGGCCAAGTGGTTGCGTCTTTAGACCCACCCTAGGGGAAGCACCGAATGGTTCTGAGGAAAAAAGAAAAAGAAAAGAAAAAAAAAAAAAAAAAACCAGCAACAAAGGCTCCATGTTGGATGTTTTTTAGAAGTGCTACGCCGCTTTCCACGCAGAGCAGAACTGAGTGAGAAAGTGAGGCACAGCCCAGCGTTCTCCTTGTGGGTGCCTGCAGTGGGGCTGGCTTTGTGAGATGTCGCTGTCAGTGAACACAGTGTCCCTTCAGCCTCATTCCCATGATGTGTTTGAATCAAAGAAATCAAGTGTAGAAATTTCACAGCAAAGCGTTGTTACTGTTAAGGTGGGTATTCCTTATTAGCAGCTCTGGGAAGCAGGGGGGATGTTTCCCCCATAAGTGCTTCAGAGATGACACAATTCAGGGTCTGTTTTATTTCCACAGATAATCCATACTCATCAATCACCTGTGAGATAATTTATTAACATATACATGCCTATGTCAGGTAGCGATTCATGAGATTTACAGTCTGCTGTTCCATGGTCTCTTCTACTGTCAGGATCCTTCTAGCATCATGACAGTGACAGTCCAGTTAACAGCCTTTTACTTTGTCCAGTGGTCCTTCCTCTGTCACCCTTCTGTGTAAATTTTATTCACTGATACATGCTCAGCAGGAGAATGCCTATTATAAGTAATTTATAGGTACCAAAATCAAAACATTTGCTCTCTCAGCACTTGGCCGTTATTTCTGGACATCTGCTCATCCTTGGATAGAGATAAGTTTGGGAACATGTCTTTTAATGATAATATACTGGGTCGCTGGAAGATAGGAGGATAGAGGGGAGTGTCTTGACATCTGCCTATTGCATCCCAGCCTACTCCCAGAGTGAGACAATTCAGCTTTGTGCGGAGGCCCTGGCTTCTTTTGATGTTTGATAAGCCTACCCATATTGTTTCATTATTGTATTTCTTTTGCTGAAAGTCTTTTGTTAAAACAGAACAAACTTATCACATGCTTTCTAGGCTATAACCCATAACTATTTGCAACATCTAAAAGCCATTGCAGTTTTGCAGGCAAGAACTAATCACGTAATGCAACAATTCAACAACTGTATTTCTAAAAATATGCTACTAAAATATATGGTGTATCTACTTTTTGAAATCAGCTATTTCTAAAAACACATTATAGAATATATTGTGGCCTACCTCTTCAAATCAAGGTCATGAAATACCATTAGGTATTTCATTAGGCTTTTATCATCAGGGCCCTTTGAAAAAAATGAAACTTGGCAATATAAAAGTTAATACAGGATCAGCTCCGAAGTTGGAAAACCTTTAGATCCACTTTTAAGCTTGGGATCTGTTCAGTGATCTATGCTGGTTAAGAAATCCTTGTGATTGTGATCCATCATCTTCAGGCCCTTTGCACAGCTGTTTCACATGACAGCATTTTGCCTCTTTCCCTCCTGCAACACAAAACCTTTAGTCCCCTCTACCCCAAGTATCTTTACAGATCTCTGCTATTCTGCTTAGAATAAAACAGAATGAAAGCTTGCTGCTTCACAACCTGATTTTTTTTATTAATCTTCATTCTACCAACTACAACAGTTCTTGAAGTTCTTAGCAATAACAACATGACTGATAAAACAATAAACTTGGTAACAATAGCATCCTTGAGAATGAAACAAGATGCCTGCAACCCAAATGTAATTTTATTGATATAACACTCTTAACTCAAAAATCACCAGATAACTGAATTCCTGACCTCTGTTCATCTCAGTAACACTGCAACCTGCCAGCATAAGACTTCATACTGTGGAGACTGCATTTCCTTTTTAGTTCCCTCTCAGTTGCACCAGTCCTTCTTTGCTGTGCTTCTCCTGTTATGCAATTTTCCTTTTCTTTATAAGACAAATTAGTGGTTGGTGACCCTGCCCATGGCAGGGATTTGAAACTAGATGATCTTTGAGATGCCTTTCCAGCCCAAGCCATTCTATGATATGATTCTATGATGACAATTCTGATATTTCTATGTCAGTAGGAACCAGAGATCCTTTGTTTTGGATATGCTCAGCCCCCTCTAGCCTCATGTACGTCCACGGCATTTCAGCTATTCTGATTCAATCATCTTCTGAATAAATAATAGTAACAATAAAAAACAAAACAAAAAGAAGGCTTGCAGCCTCATAACCTGATTTTTATTATTGATCTTCATTCCACAAATTAAAATAGGTCAAATATCCCTCAGGCCACAAAAAGAGGGGAGATTTTGACTAGATATAAGGAAGAAGTTCTTTACAGTAAGAGCGATGAGGTTCTGGCACAGGTTGCCCAGAGAGGTGGTGGATGCCCCATCCCTGCAGACACTCAAGGTCAGGCTGGAAGGGCTCTGAGCGCCTGATGGAGCTGCAGGTGTCCCTGTTCACTGCAGGGGAGTTGGACTAGGTGGCCTTTATGGGTCCCTTCCAACTCAAATGATTTTGTGAAACATACCTTAAAATTTCTCTCCCTTTAAGGACTCAAGTCTCTGATCATTCTCTAAAGAAAGTATTACATAATAAAATACACCAAGAAACCGAAGGAAAAGTGTTGTTTTTACTTTAGAGCCTCAAGCAAAACCCTACTGACCTACTTCAGAAGGATGTTACTTTCACACAGAACTCTTCGAAGCTCAGAACTCCAATTAATTTCATTCACCAAAGCCGTTAAGCACGAAGTTACGCGTTTCTGACGCACCAGGAGGCAGAGAACGGCTCAACCCTGTGGAAGGCGGCAGAAGCGGAAGCGCCCATTCCCATTTAATGTACACCCGGCGCAGGGGCGGAGTGAACTACCGCTCCCAGGGAGCCGCGCGGCGTCGCGCCGGGCCGTGCCCCCGTGGGCGGGTGGCTGGGCGGCGGGAGCGGGGTCCGCGGCGCAGGATGGAGAGCCCGGCGGTGACCTTCACCTTGGCTTACCTGGTGTTCGCCGTCTGCTTCGTCTTCCCGCCCGACGAGGTGCGCTCGGCCGGCCTGACGGTGCAGAGCCTGCTGGCCGCCTGGCTGGGCAGCGAGGACGCGGCCTTCGTGCAGTACCACCTGCGGCGCAGCACCGGCACGTTGCTGGCGCACTCCCTGCTGCCCCTCGGTGAGCGGCGGGCCGGGGGGTGGGCTGCCTTCCTGCCTCGGTGCGGGCAGCGGGCACGGTGTGCTGCTGTGCCCTATCTGCCAGGGTTCTTGGTGGTATACATGCTTATCTTGTCGCCAGCACGTGGAGTTGCAAAGGAATAATGTTTTCTTTAATTTGGAAGTTCAAATCGGCTTCCTTTGGCAATGTATTTCAAGTAGAAATCAGTGATGGGTATGGATATGAAGTACCGAATGTATTCTTGTCCTGGCTAATTATTCAGGTGCACATCAGTGAGCGCAGTGGATAGGTTAGGAGTCTGCGTTGATTGATGTACTTAAAATTAGAGAATCATAGAAGATTGCAATTTGGACTCAGATTTGTATCACACTCGTGGCTCCATGTGAAACCACTCCAAAATCATAGGATTATTTAGATTGGAAAGGCCACGAAGACCATCCAGTCCCACCATCCACCCAAATCAGAACATATGGCTGAGAGCAGTGTCCAAACACTCCTGGAACTCCAGCAGCTCAGGGCTGTGCTCATTGCCCTGAGCAGCCTGTTCCATGCCCACCATCCTCTGGGTGCAGACCCTTTCCCTAACCCCCAGCTGCCCCTCCCCTGACACAGATCCATGCCATTCCCTCGGGCCCTGTCACTGTCACAGAGGGCAGAGCTCAGTTCTGCCGCTCCACTCCCTGTGAGGAGCTGCATCTGCCATGAGGCCTTCCCTCAGCTCCTCTGCACCGGGCTGAACAAGCTGAGGGACCTTGGCTGCTCCTCACACTTCTTATCCTCTAATGGTTAAAGCCATTACACTTAATTGCTTCCTTTTCCCTGCAGGTTATTACCTTGGTATGTGCTTCGCTGCACCTGAGAAACACCTTTGCTTCTTCTACCTGGCCTCAAAAGAATGGAAAATTTTCTTCTTCTTTGCTGTTCTCCTTCCAGCAGTCAGCAGCACCCTGGCGTATTACTGGTCACGGAAAGGTTGGAATAACCACCCATTGGCCCGGACACTCGCTGTTTATGCTCTGCCACAGTCAGGTTGGAGGGCAGTGGCTTCTTCCATCAATACAGAATTTAGGAGAATTGACAAATTTGCCACCGGAGCCCCAGGAGCGAGGGTGATTGTTACAGACACATGGGTGATCAAGGTAACCACCTACTGCCTACATGTCGCCCAGCAGCAGGACATTCATTTGACTGTGACAGACTCCAGACAGCACGAACTCACACCGGACTCAAACATGCCCGTGCAGTTCCTCACCATCCGTGTTGCCAGTGTTAATCCCTATGTGAAGGCATTTGATATCCGGTAAAACAAAATAACACTTTACAATTGTGACATATATGATATACGATGGCGTTCGTGAAGTGTTCTTGGAGCAAATCTGAAAGCTCAATGACTCTTGCTTCTCTCTCCCTGCCCGGTGCTCAGAGATGCTGTATGCACAGTTCTACCATGCAGTGCAGTGAAAAAAAGTTTAAAAAGATTCATGTGCCCACAATAATAAATGCACAGTGGTTAAACAGAAACAGAGGGACTGCCCTATTTGGTCCTCTCTTAGGAAAAGGGTTGTGCTGGATGCAGAAAGAAGTAGCTGGAAAAACTTCAGTGAGAGGTACTGGAAGAGAGCAATAAGAAGCAATGGAGAATAAGAAAGATAATCTTCAAGTCTTTGGTCTTACAAATTTGGTGGTGAAGAAATAGTGATATTTCTAAACTTGGCTGTTGTTCACTCATATTTTTACCCCTTCCTCTGCACAAGCCTCCTGATTTTGTCATTGCTCAAAACAATTCTCACTGCTCTACTGCAAGCCAGCTGCCCTTAAAGCTAGGAAGTAATTCCAACCCATTTCTGATTGATGAATTGTAATAGCAGTAAATGATAGTAAATGTGCTGTGAACAATTAGGCCTTGTTTTCCAAGGGCTTCAGCTGTTTTTTAGCAGTCTTCCTATGTAGCTGAGCAAAAGTACAAGTTCTGCAGAAACCCTCAACGCTGATCAGAATGATACTAAAATCTGCCTTGTTCTTGTGTCATGAAAGGGAATTTGTGCTCCTGCAGTTATATATTTGAAAAGGTATTTGAGTGTCTGTTGTTGTAAATGTCAGCAGCTTTTATTTACCAGATAATGAAAAGCAGGCAGGCTTGTAGGTGGGGTTCCAGAGGGCCAGAGGGCTCCTGGCAGGCATGAGGAAGACATAGAGATGAGGTGTCAGAAATTGGGTGATATGCTCAGACTGAGGGGTTAAGGTAAGCATTATAGGATCCTAAGTAGAGACTTCTATAGACCTGTGAGAGTAGTGATCAAATAAATATTAAACAACTAATTATCTTCTTCTCTAAGTGATAAAATTGCATCCCATCATACTGGGAAAAGCATGAGATCCTTGACAGTTTCTTTTAGGGAAAAGAAATCCAAATCCCAAAATTTTATGGTTAACCAAAACAGCATCAAGAACAGTTTTTAGAAGTTCTTGTAAGATGCATCAAAAGTAGCAAGTATTCTGGAATGCAGTACTGGAATATACTGGAATGCAGTAGGACCACTGTGTATTTCCAGAATCAGAAGTAGGGATGTTTCTGAAAGAAAAGTGCTTCTGTGTAGGCAGGCCACGTTTCCCCATGTGCTCAGTGAGAGTTCTTTATCTGGGTATAAAGGTCTGTGTTATTTTCACAGTCAGCAAACTCTATTATCCTTCAGCACTTAAAACAATGGAGACCACCAGGAATTAAAGATGAACATTGCGTTGTGCTGTGCTGCAGGAACCTCAGCTGGGGCAGAAAGACTGAGGTATTTCAGGGCGATGTTCCCAGGGCTCCTCCATAAAAGCTGCTTAATGAGGGAAACACAAAGTTGGGGAGTTCAGAGTGTTGTGTTTTGAAGGCTAACAACAGTAGTGTGTCACTGCAGGATCTGTACAAGGTCTTATGTGCCACGTGAGGTCTGTTGGACTCAGGGAGACTTCTTTTACTAGAAGCAAGCTAGTGTGAAGCATGACCTGTTGCTACCTGAAATGAGAGCATGTCACATTTAGCAGCCATTTGCAGCCTTTTGAAATTTCAGTTTTAATCTATAAGCATATGAGACAACCAGAAATTAATACTGACTTTCTTCTGATTCTTACATGTATCAGAATACATATCAGAATACATGATGCGTGCCTCACTGTGTAATACAGTCATACAATAATTTCTGTCCTCTGGGGTTAATGTACTATGGTTAACTATATATATTACTATAATTAACTTACGGTATAAGGAAACAGGCATTGAAAAGGTAGACAGAAACTGTGCATGCAGTATTTTATAGATAATTCATGATATTTTATGTATTTTTACTCATGCTGTTGAATTGACTGTCTGGACATGAAGCCTGAACTTGCTTATATGTGCAGGCTGGGATCCAGGCAGGAGGACTGCATGTTCCAAGAGATATCAGGGAAAAAATACAAACAAAAAAGAAACCAGACAAAACAAGCCCAGCAGAACAGTTGGTTCTTCTGTGTACTCACTTTTCTGTGTTTAACCTCTGTGAGGTACTATCGAGGTATTTGAATGGATAACTGAGGTAACATTTTATTCCATCTTTTTCAAGGCTGAACTCCACAGAGTATGGGGAGCTCCGAGAGAAGCTACGTGCTCCCATCAGCAATGCAGCTAATGTTGTGATCCACCAAAGCCTTAGTGATTTATTTCTAGAAACTTTTACATCTCTGGTGGAAATGAACCAGACGTATTCTGTTCCAAGCACTCAGGTGAGACTTTCTATCCATGTGAAACTGTAATCATTTATTTTACAATATAGCTGAGCCCGCAATTAATGTAACTGGTAATTTTGTTTACTTTGAGTTCACCTCCCATTTCAGTAAACGTGTAATAACGTAGATCGAGCTGCTGCTTCTGTTTCCTCTAGAAAATGAACTGTATTGTGAACGCCATATTTTTGAGACATGAGAAATAGCAGAGCAGAAGTTGTTTCTTTAAAACTTTAAAACATTTGGACACGGTGATGTTGCATTTCCAGAGAGTTTATGGAGTAACAGCTGCTGTTCCTGTGCTTTAAACAGCTTGTTTTTCTAGACAGCCCAGTTTTGCTGGATCTTCTCCTGTAATAAATTAATAATTCTTAACTGGGACTTGCTTTAAGTGTAGTCAGTAGTCAGGTGCTGCAACAGACTGCCAGGGAGGTGGTGGAGTCACCATCCCTGGAGATGTTTAAGAAGAATTTGTATGTGGCACTGAGGACACGATTAGGGGGCATGTGGGGATGGACTGATAGTTGTACTAGAAGATCTTAGAGGACTTTTCCAATCTTCATGGTTCTGTGATTCTAAGCTTTTGTCTTTGGTGAACCTGACTGGAGGAAATGAGGCAGTTCTGCCTTGAGGTTCTGTCCAACTCAGCTTCCTGTTATGCTTCTGTGCAGACTGTTTTCCAAAAGCCTTTTAGAGAGCAATAACAGAAGACATTCTCTGCAGTTCATAGTCGTGGCATTTTTCTCTTTTAGGAGCTGGAGCCATGCATAGGATGCATGCAGACTATTGCAAACATCAAGCTCATCAAGAACTGCCAAGAGCCAAATGAAGGGGAATGTCAGCAATGCTACTGTCGTCCAATGTGGTGCCTCACCTGCATGGGCAAATGGTTTGCCAGCCGACAGGACCAGCAGCACCCAGAGACATGGCTGTCAAGCCACGTGCCTTGTCCAACTTGCAGAGCCAAATTTTGCATTTTAGATGTTTGCATAATACGATGAATAACATTTGGGTATGTTCTAACTTTTTAAATTTGTATTTCATCGTGGTTTTGGTCAAAAGGCCCATTAGCATTGTTTCTTAGACTTTGCATTACACAGGAGTGCAAGCTCCAGAGCTCTGTTTTACAGCATTGAAAATGGATGTACATTTGCTCAGTTCTTCTCAATTTTTACCTTTTGTCTTTGGTTTTTACACATCAGATGTCAGTTTCTGAAAGATGTTGCTTGAAACGTTTAGTAAAATTTTGCTTTCTATGTCTTGGATGGTATAAAATCATCCTATCCATGTTTGCAATACTGTTCTCTTTTTAACCTAGGTATTTCTGACTCTTTCATAAAGGGCTGAGAAAATTACTTTGGTTATACTTCACTGATACTTTTGTTTATTCTTTAATTCATCTGCAAAGTTCTTATTCATCTTTGCAAGTGTACACCAAACAAGAATACCAGTTGTTCTCCTTCTGCTGGTCCCCTCCATTTATAAAGGAGATTGGTTTCTGTAGACAAAGGAATTGAATTCCTGGAGTTACATAATTTCCACAGTGACCTTTTATTCCATTAATCTGCCTTCAGTTTATTTTTTGATGGACTTTTTTATTTCGAACAGAAGGATTTAGAACTATATCCTGCTTACTTGCACTGCTATTGCTGTGCAGTATTAAATCTATAGAGCTGCATTGCTTAAGGTTTTAGAGTTTTCTAGGTGATGGCTTTTTTCCTATATTTCAAATATCCGAATTATCTGAATTACCTGAAAGAATGCTCGACTACTTCAAAGACTTCACTTTTTGTTGTTGTTGTTAATTTTTTTCTCCTGAAGGACTGCCTTTTCTCTGAAATAGATGTCAGGATCACAGAGATTGAAGTTGCTGTGCTAGGCACCCGAGAATCGCCAGTCATCATTTCCCTAATGAAAATTTTTCAGGCTTGCACTTCAAAGCCTGATCATAAGGAACAGACATTGTTTTAGCATTTGTAGGGTACCAGTGCATACTTCCAGATGCAGTGTGCATCCAAATAATTTGTAAATTCAAAGCATTTTCTATAAGGAGCCATTCTCCTGGACCCAAATGCAGTGCTTACCATTTCATCTGTCCATCAGACACTTCAATAAATAGTTACTTGGCACGCTGCTTGGTGAAAAGCTTCAAGCTGTTGGAGAATGTGTGGGTTCTTGCATTGCTTTATGCACTGCAGTGGCTGAGAAGCAAATGTTTGCTTACCCAGGTGGTTTTCCTTACGGTGCAGTAACTTCCAGAAACAAGTGGGCCAGATGATGAAAAAGGTGTATTTTAATGCTTTGGTCCAGGAGAATGAAAGCCCTGATACTTCCCATAATCAGAAGGATCTTAATTGTAAATCAAAAGCACAAGTGACATGGCAGTGCTTAACTGGCACCTCTAGACTGCCTTGAGAAGAAAGACTGCTTTGAGCAGAAATTGCTGGCAACATTTTTTAACCTTTAGAAGAATCCTGCAGGGCCAGGTGGGGTTGTCTGCTATGCACCTTCTCACTATACACCAGACTTTACAAAAAATGTTTACTTATGGTAAGTTTGCATAATATGGCACAGATATAAAGGATGTGGTAATTCAAATAGTTGTAGAAGGGAATGCATAATTTTGGACTTTGTCACTGACAGTCCTTCAACTTGTACATCTCTTTTTCAGTTGGGAATAAAAATATTTTAAAGATCTATGAAGATCATAAAAACCTTGAGACTTTTGGATTACAGCACATGTAATTGCAAATATTCTTATTAAAAAAAAAAAAAAAGAGTCGATTGCCCATAATATTGCATGGAGTAAAAGCTTTAGATTCCCAATTGCTTGTGCAGTACAGTTTTTCTTTAGGGAAATCTATCATCTTTGAATTGAAGTTTCTATTTCAGTGGAACTTTGCTTTTACCCATCTTATTTCTTTTGCCAACATGACAGTAGAACAAGGTAATAGTCATAAATGTATAGTACTCTTGAATCTTTTGATGGTTGTGCTCTTTCCACAGAAGTGCCTCAACTTTAGTAATAATTACCAAAATAAAATGATGAATTATGTTAATAATAGTGCCTGGCTTATATTCCTTAAAATAAGCATTTTTTCTAAGTTTAAATTCTCATAGTAGTCTGGCATGCCTATGAAGTTTTTAAGCTTTTAAAAGGCAATGTTACAGAACGAACTTGTTAAAAATCTCCATGATGCTCTCCTCATAGGGACAGAAGAAGGCAAAACCATGACACATTTCTGAGCACAGGTCATCTGTTATCTTATAATTCACCAAACGTGAATTTATTCCTTCTGTAAATTTTCCTACTATAAGCTGAATGTAGAGGGCTACATAAAAGAAGACATGAAAACAATTAGTGTATTTGTCTCAGAGGAAAACAAAAGAAAAGAGAGTAGCACAGGATATCATGAAATCAGAGAGGGAGATTTTTAGAAAGGCAATAAAAGAACAATGTGTTCAATTAATGGTATGAATTTGGGGATGTTTCTCTAGCACATGGGCTTCCAATCGCTTTGGCTCGCTCAGGCCACATTGAATGAACAGAAATTGTCTTGTGTTCTATATAAAGTATATAGTCAAGGAATATAAATGACAAGAATTTTTATACATTTTTTATTAAAACACAATTTTAAAAGGGTAACAAAAACAAAGAACTGGTGGAACATTTGACCTTGCTTTTGTGTAACACATCTACGTCTGGTTCAATGGAAGCAGTTGCAATTCTTAGTTCTCAAGACACATTTCAGAGATTTCTGAACTACTTTTACTCTTCCTGTATTACAACAACGTAATGAGCAAAAAAAGGCATTTCATACAGTTTTGTACTTCCTATAGTACAGCTGTTAACACCTGTTTTAAAATACTGACTGCAGACACTGCAGGTGATGTGGGTCATTTTTACCCTTCCCAAAATTACACAAAAAAAATCCCATATTACACACCCACATTTCATTGGTTATTAGTAGATGATACTCCACTAGTCTGCATTCAGAAGGCCTATTGATCTGTCATTTTTTACCAATTTAAATATAAATAAAAAAATATATATAAAATATAAATATAAGTAAATATAAAATTTACTACCCCTTCTGAAGCTGTAAAGCCTGGCTTGTATGAGAATATTTTACAATTATTTCTAGTTGTGAAATATATACTATTCCTGATTTTATTAATTTTGTTAAATATACACTAGCTCAATGATTTTGAAGTACATATCGTCTTATTCTTGTACTTTGTTTTAGATTTTATCATCATTTAACTTCTTTTCACACGCAAAAAAGCAGCCACTAAATGCAAATTGACAAATCAACAAATTCTGTGAAAAAGCGTATGAATGTAGGTGTAATGCACATCCTCTGTAAATCCAGCTTTAGCGTGCTTGGATTATGAAATGTAAGCGATTATTACTTGTATATTCCCCCCTCGTGATCAGAACAGTGGTGAAGTGCTGGCACAGGCTGTAGGTGCTGTGTCCATGGAGGCGTTCAAGGCCAGGTTGGATGGAGCCCTGGGCAGCCTGGTCTGGTGCCACATCTGGAGGTTGGTGGCCCTGCCAAAGGCGGGGGGTTGGAACTTGATGTCCTTGGGGTCCCTTCCAACCCAAGCCATTCTATGATTCTATGAAATGGATAAAACCATGATGGTGCTCTGAAAGTAATGCCTCCTGTTTCATGATGTTGGCACACATCCCCAGAGATAGATGATGGTGGCATGGCAGGAGAGGTCAAACCTTTCCCACGATGTTCCTTACACCATACTGCTGTGTGCCAGACAGCACAGGGGCACTCTAAGAAAACAGCTTTTGAAGCAAAGGTGTCGAACAGAGCTGCTCATCGCTAATGGAAGCGCCTTGCTAACGGTGGTGACTGTTGAAAGACAGCGTTTTGTAACTCAGAAACGGGTTACCAACCGGCGTTCCAACCTCACCCCTTGCTCAATAACAACCCCGTGCCCCCACAGGCACCCACGCCCTTCCCAGTCTGAAGGAAACACCGCCCTGTAGCGCGCTGTTCGCGCTGCTTCGGAGGGTGGAGCCGCGCTTGCGCACCGCGCCGAGCCTGCAGCCATGTTCCGCGGCGGCGGTGGGGGCGCTCGGCTCAGCCATGTTCGGCGCGCAGCAGGGCCGTTCCGCCGGCGGCGAGCTGGGAGGGCCGCGCAGGTGAGCGCTGCCGCGGAGGGCCGGGTGTGCTGAGGTGCGGGCTTCGCTCCCTCAGGGCGCCTGGGTCCTGCGTCAGGTCCGTAGGGCTTCGCCCGCTCCGGGCCGGGGATGTGTGGGGAAATGGGCGCGTGGGCTGAGGGGAGCAGCGCGGCTGGGAGATCGAGTGGTTGACTGTTGTGGGTGAGCGGGGAAGGGCTTTGTCCTTTAATTGCCTTCACAAAATGTGAGCGTTTCGGAAAATGTCCTTTTGCCTGGATTATGAGTAAATTGCGTGGTGTAGGCAGAGCAGCAATCTGCCGGAGTGAGCCAGGAGAGAAAACAAACCCAGAGCGCTGATCCAGGGTTAAGGAGACAAAATCCTTTCCTCCTCCCGCTCCTTGGCTCCAGGAAGCGCAGAGACCCGGCAGGGATGGCGTGCACAGAGCAGCGTGGAAATGGCTGCGTTTTCTGATTTGGAAGGCTCCACATCACCACACCAAAATCCTAACTCCATGTCTTGAGTGTCCAAATGCTCCTTGATCTCTTGTCAGCTTGGGGCTGTGCCCACTGCCCTGGGGAGCTGGTTACACGTCCCCTGATATCCAACCCAACCCTCTCCTGAACTGACAGCACAGACTCCCCTCTCAGGCTCACTCACCATTGCAGTTCTTCCCATGAGATGGGTCTGGTGTCAGTAGGTGCTGCAGAGCTACTGTATGTAGTCAGTAATCTTTTAAGACAACAGAACTGCCTGAATTGAGTAGGAAGGCAAGGAGAACACAGCAAACTTAATCCTTAAGCAATCCTTGGCTGTCCTTTCAGTGTATTTCAAGCACTCCATACTAGCTCTAGTGCTTACTTGTGAGGGCTCCGTGTAGTGTCTGATGAAGAATTTCCAATATCAGCATGTTTTTCTGTAGCTGTTTGATCTATTTCTCCTTAATCACACCATTTCCCGTGTCAAAACTGACAATTCTTTAAGTTTGCCTCTTCAAGACTTTAGTGATGTATGCAATATTGCGTAAATGAAGCTAATATAGTGGTGACATAGGCCTGTCTGAATATTGGCGTCAGCAGTTCCATAAATACTGCTGACCCTTATTACAAACAGAAAAGGTAGTTCTGCTTTTCCAGAAATTAAGTTTATTTTAGAATTTGGGTGTCTTAACTGCAGCAGTGTGAAAGACACTTTTGCAGTAACTAACTAACACT